GGATAAACCACCATTTTTAAAATCGCAGTGGAAAATTGTCTGTTAATGAATAAATAATCAAAAAATGGTATTTTTATGTGTATTAAAAAGCTCTTTAAAAGAGATTAAAATATAGCACTCCTCTCATAATACATAAGAAAAGAAATACAAAAATTATATTATACACAAGCAAGACAGAAGGAAAAATGTTATTCATATTGTCTTTACAGATATATTTTAATTATATCTGATTTCTTTTTTTTTTATACACATTATATATAATAGACTGTACTTGGGCTAGTTTCACCCAATACCACAAAAACTGATACAAAACCAAAAATATTAAACTCAAAACTTGAGTCATATTCTTAATTAACCACATCAAATCATGACTTTTATATGGATGTCATACAGAGTACCAAACTCATTCAGAATATCAAAACTGTCATTGGTATACAACCATTTTTCTCAGATCAATGATTAAAAATGACTGTGTGAATGAAGCCTGCAGATCTGAGCGGGCCATCATTTATGAACTGATGCTACAAAATCAGACAAAGAACTGTACCAAATAAGAGAATCCACATCATTTGAGGAATTTCAACACCAGCAACAACTAAATTGGATATCACATGTAAATGGAAGAAAAAATGATGATATAATGAAGATGTTGACATTCCACACCACTTTGAACAAAAGGTTAGAAAGGAAACCCTCATCAATACTGGAAAGAGTAATAAGAGCTACTAGACTTGAAAAAACTATTTTCCTGAAAAATTCTTTTCAGAGAAAGGTTTTATAAATTTCAAATGAAAGCAGAACTTGCTGTTCTGTCAATGAATGCCGAATGTTTCTATCTAAGGAAATAGCTAATATTAACATGATAGATGGGTTACACTTTTCTTAAAAATGGACTCAGATGATGACATGTTGTAATAAGTTGTATCAAATCTGGAACAGTTGCTGTAAACATTTTTGCTGTAGGAAAACTCGACTCAAGAATTTTCACTGTAGAAATTTATATATATAAGATTTTTGCCATAAGACAATTTTGCTGCATTATCCCCACCTCGATACCCTTATCTTGAACATCCCTTTTGGAGTAATGTTCAATTTAATATGCGAAGTACCTTGTTATCAAGTATATATGAATGTTTTGTTTTTGTTTTTTTTACAGGGTGAAACATCAGAAAAGAAATTAAAAAGTAAACATTTATTTAAAAAATAAAATAAAAGACCAAATAAATATCAAATTAACAAAGAAATAATCTAAAGCTTGCAAATATGTTTTTTTGCATTAAACTGTAATGAAGCATTTTCCGCTGAAGTCTTGCATTGATATCAATATATTTTCATCATTAGCACTGCATCTCCTTGATCAAAAGCACACTTTTTTGCTAATGTCTCTTCCTTTTTCAAATATGAAATTAGTTTCTATAAATTTGGGTGCATGTTAGTAAAACTACATTTATTAAAATGTTTATATCGAAGTAACAAGTGTGTGTGCCAGATATTCTTGATAACAAGATAATTTATATAAAAAAAATAAATAAATAAATAAATATAGGATTTTTGCCGTAAGACAATTTCACCTCCTTTTTATTTAAAAATAAAGAGGTGAAATTGTCTTACAGCAAAAATCCTATACAGCAATGTTTTCTACAGTGAAAATTCCTGAGGCAAGTCTTTCTATGGCAAAAATGTTTATGGCGAATGTTCCTAGAACCAAGTTGTATATCTTTAGCACCCATGCAACAATAACAGGATTTTGACATCATTTTACTGTAGAATAATTATTGGAACAACCAAAACGAAAATAAAAAAAATAAATATAGAACTATCTCCAAGATGGTAAGAGCTCTGTTTTTAGTAGGTAGTAGAAGTAAGGGTTTATTTGGTTTATTTTGTTTTACAGAAATATAAACTCCACAATGCTGATAAGATTTTTAAGATAGGTTCGTATGAACAGAATATGTATTCTTTGTAAGAAATCAGTTTATAGGAGATCAGGTTTCATTGGCGTATTTTTGTAAAGAGGGTTTTTGTCCAGAGTCAAACGTGTTGTTGGTAATATTTTCTTTTCAAAAATGTATTGCTGGTAATATTTCTTTTTCAAAAACATATTGTTGGTATTTTTTTTTTTTTGTATTGCTGGTATTTTTACTATAAAAATCTATTTTATACTTTCATAATGTTTTGACCCCAGTTTAGGGGTTAACTATTTACCCATAGTTGGGACTCTTAATTGGTGTTGTTCCCAGGTCTACCCTGGGAACAACACCATTTAAGAGGTGGTTCCACACTTCTCAAAACCTCCTGATCAGAGGTCTTGCTGCCGGATGTAGTTTATCGTCATACCCAGGACAGCAGAAGCAAGGGTATACAGGGATTTTTAGACAATGGTACATAAAATCCCTAGGTGTCTACAAGTGATGTAACAACAGGACTTTACAAAGGAGATCAAAACACACCCCAGTTTAACATCAGTATGTCTCCCATCAGTTACACAGGATTCCATGTGGGTTTTGACCAACAAAGATACCATAACTGGCATCATTGGTTAGTATACCTTACATGAGCTAGAGAAAACTGATGCTATTTCATCTGGTTAGACTACTCATATTTCCAGCTCTTTCAGACAGTCGTTTATATGGGGAAGAGATTACACGAGGCTATAGATCTAGCTTGTTTACAGGGTGCTGTGCAAGCTGGTGGTGACTCTCTAATGGTGTTGGATGTGTTCTTAGTGTTTGCAGGAACCACTACTGAAACTGGAATCTGCCTTGATAGGTGTGACATAAACAAATTTTATTTCAGACCTCAATTCCAATAGTAGTCCTTGCAAATTTGAACAGAACACATTCCATATCAATAGGCAATTGCTTGAATCATCTTATGTTCACCATATTTCTTCATAGTGATGATTTTTTTTTCAGCAATACAACAGAACACCTTCACAAATACTGTGCTGACTTCCAGATACTCTACTGGCTCCAGTGGTCACCAGATTTAAACCACATTGAGCATTGAAAACTCAACTAAATTCACTGCAGCCCTTTTCCATTCAACACAGTTATAGATGGCCTTGGAATGTGCTTGGATAACTATACCCATTCAACAACTCCAACAGCTTATAGACTCATTGCCACATTATATTACTGGCATTATTCAGGTGAAGAAAGCCATCTGTTATTAGATAGCTGTCTAATTTTTTGGCACTTCAGTTAATATTTTTTCAGCACAGAGGAAAATAACACACTTTTGAAGGAGAGGGAAATGGAATGCACTTCTGCAGGGGACGTGAAAAAAAAACAAAAAAAAAACATACTTTTACAGGGGGGAGGGGGGGAAACATTTTTACAGGGGGAGGAGGGGAAACACTTTCACAGGGGAGGGAAAACTTTTGGAGGGTGAGGGGGAAACACACTTTTGCAGGGGGGAACACTTTTTACATGGGGAGGGGGGGAAAACACTTTTACAGGGGGGGGGGAAAAACACTTTTACAGGGGGAGGGGGAAAACACTTTTTACAGGGGGGGAAACACACTTTTACAGGGGGAGGGGGGAAAAACACACTTTTACAGGGGAGGGGAAAACACACTTTTACAGGGGAGGGGAAAAACACACTTTTACAGGGGAGGGGGGAAAACACACTTTTACAGGGGGAAAAACACACTTTTACAGGGGAAAAACACACTTTTACAGGGGAGGGGGGAAAAACACTTTACAGGGGGGGGAAACACACTTTTACAGGGGAGGGGGGAAAACACACTTTACAGGGGAGGGGAAAACACACTTTTACAGGGGGGGGGGGAAAACACTTTTACAGGGGGAGGGGAAAAGAACAAATTTATATTTGCCAACAGTTAGCAAGTTCACCACAGTTACAGATTAAAAAAAATAAAAAAAAGGGGGGGGTGTAACTTACTCAATGGGGAACCATTCTACACATAAGCGTTTCACTTCCCCAATATCCTCTGGACACAGGAATCTCAACTGTACATCCCGCTGGACCCCAAAAGACACTGCCTGGTTCATGAAGCGGTCACATGAGCAGCATCCTGGTCATCAGAGCAACGTCACACCCATTCGGGATGGTGCTGTGCTAACAATAACAATCAAGCCGTGAGTGGACAAAAAAAACTGGATTCACTCCCAGGGATGGGACTGGAACTACCATTCTTTGCCTTGGAAGCACAGTTGGATATCTTGAAGGATTCTTCTACCACAGGAGGCTGAAGAAGAAAAAAATGTTTAAAAATATTTTGTTTAAAGCTTAATGTAGTTTTCATAATTATATATGAATGTACTGAAAAGAAAAACAACTCCGTGTATAATTTCTGATCAAAATTTGGGGGGGGGGGTGTTAATGAAAAAATGTGATTTATGAGTTAGAAAAACAGAAATTAAGCAAATAGACAACTAATGCGAGTTTCAACCTGCTGAAGGCTAAGTCTGCACAGGAATTACTGCAGTATATCCAGTGTGGGGATGACACAGCATGTCTATGCAGGAATGAATACCTAACAAGACTTGTGTAGGGAACTGTTCAGGTGCTCAGCTGTGCACCAACCCTATGAGCACACCCAGTTATGGAGCTAATGATGATGATGACGATGATAAAGATTAACTGATTGATCGATCGATTTGTTTTTTGTTTTTTTTTACAGCTTATCAGCCTTTCTGCTGGTTATTTAAAGCCAGAAAATATTTTTACATTGTAAGAGTTTTTTGGAGATAATGATTTTTACTGATACAATTTCTACTAATTAACCCATAACTGGGGAGAGGGTGGATTCATATCTTTCTTGAAAGGATTTGCACATAAGCGAATATAACGAACCTGACTGAAATTGGAACTCGGCTCTCTAATTCCAAGCTGTTATCCATTACACCACCCGCACATCAAAGCTTACAGCACCAGGTATTCCCAAGCAGTCACCCATCTAGATACTGACCATGCTCAATGTTTCTTAATTTTTGTGATTGTATGGGAACTAGTGTTTCAAAATGATATGGTCATAATTTGATGGAGAGTGAGGCACCAATTGATAATTAAGAAAATGTTGTAGCATAGTCTTTTTCTAAGATGACAGTTTCGTTATGTTTCTGTAACCTGTTATATTGCAAATCATGTAATTGCAGTCCTCACTCAGTTTTTAATTAACTAGACAATTCACCCCCATGTTGCATTTCAATCCCAGTTTGCATTGGTGTAAACAAAACTTGGGAAAGGCCTTTCAAGAAAAGGTGAAAATAACACTGTAGCAAGAAATGAAAAAAAATTAATCCAGTTTCCATTATATTTAGTTATATATTCATGAATTTACTTGACACAATATTGCGGTAGACAGACAACACTTAGGATGTCTTTGTTGGTACACAGACTAGATCTTCCCTTTGATCAGCACATACTACGACTGCCACCCCACCCATCTATAATATTAAGTTATGTCATCAGCAAATATATAGGTTTTGATTGTCTGATTAATTTATTTATTTTTATGGGTTATCAACCTTTTGCAGGTTGTATAGAGCTTGAATTCTAATTCTTTAAGTATATGTTCTATGAATATATGTAGCCAGGGCCTCATTTGCTAAACTAAATAAAATAATTTTTTCCTTTTTTTTTTTTTTTTAAGCATTTCACCCCCCCCAAAAAAAAAAAAAAAAAAAAATTCAAGGCAGGAGTCCCACTAGTACACAGGGGGGTTACAGAAAGTGAAAGTAAAAGAAAAGACTGGGTATAAAGGGGATTGAGGAAAGGATAAAAAGAACCACATTTCATTTTTCTTTTATCGTTTGAATTATATCACCTATGCCATGAAATTCTTCCGATATTGAAGACAATAGATAACTTTTGTTTATTTTTATGGGTTATCAACCTTTTCCAGGTTGTATCCTAGGCTCACAAGAAGATCTCCTTTGATGACAAAAACGTTTTGTCAAATTTAAATTACTTCATGTTAAATGTATACGATCGTTTTCCACATGATACACTGATTTCTCCATATAGAAACGTTTCATTGATTATTAAGTCTTTCTTTTATTGTCATCAAAACAATAGACACATTCACACTAATCACTTTCTTTCACCCAAATGTTTCAAGACAATAGGAAAATCCATATTTTCATTGATCCTTTTCATTTCTTTATTAAACATATCTATACATCTGTTTATTTTTAGTATAAACGTTTATTTAGTGGATACAGGTGTTTTGGCAGACATCTTTGTTTATAAATAATATAATTCAATGTCTACCAGCCTAGGCATTTATGAATCTTAAGAAAAAAAAAAAGAAAAAGAAAAGCCTTTTAAAAGGGTTCAAAACTGCATCCCTCTATTATAGGGGAATACCACCTTTTTCTGTGTGTGTGCTTCAGATCACTCAGCCACAAAAGACTTCAAAGCAAAGTAAGGTTCAATTACTAAGTATAATGTTAATAGTAATAAGTTCCTGTCTTTAAGAATTCTGGTGAAGCTTCTGATTCCTCAAAGTATTATCCTACTAGTCTTACCTGTTTTGGCAAAGTACTAAAAGCTCTAATCAAGGTTCAATTACTAAATATAATAATATAAATAAACCATACAGAATTATAAATAAAATCTATTAATTCCTAAGAAATTAGTCAGCTGAGAGAACCCAGCATGGCTGATGCTAACCTCCAAGAGAGTGACTCGTGCCTTCTCGGATTAATGTTTTCCACTGACATGCTAGGTCTGTTGCTTGAAAGGTTGACTCACTGTATTGTGCTAGACAATTTTTCTTGCCAGAATCTGTCTAACATATTTACAAGTCTATCATTCCTTCATGCTTAGAATATTGTTGCCAGATATAGTCTGATGCTCCTGATATATATTTAGAGATCCTTGATAAAATCCAAAGAAGAATCTTCAATGTTAATTGTCCTGACATCTCAACATCAGTCACTTTGCCACTGCTGTAATGTAGCTTCCCTCTGCCTTTTTTTTTTTTTTTATAAATACTTTCATGGCAAATGTTCTAATGAACTCTCCTCTATGGTACCAAGACTATGAATTTAAGCACTTTACTAGATTGACAGCAAGATCTCATCATTTTACAATCAAAACGGTTTGTTGAAACCATAAGTTCTATGCTAATAGTTTTTTTTTTCTCACACTTCTCCCTCGTGGAACTCTTTCTTGGCTTCTTGCTTTCCAGTTCAAAAATTTACAGTGTCAATTGTTATCATCTGTCCTGTTAAATTCTGTTCTTTTATTGTCCTCTCTGCTTAATATTTTCTCATATTCTTTCGCATTCAGTAAACCTCACTATGCATTAGTGGCTTTGTTGCCTTGCTTGGGATGAAATAATTTAAAGAAAAAAAAAAAAGCAATTATATCTATCAGTATTGAAATATACACCACCAGATGTTACTCCATTCAAACAAAAAATATAGAAACATATATACTATCCAGCCTCCTCCATTGCTTATAAACTGACCTAGATCTACGTTCCTGATACAACAGAACATGATACAAACCTCCTAGGCCAGGCACGTCAAACATGTGCCTCTTTACAAGCACACCCGTGGCCTGCACAAAGGATACTAATTTGGTCACTTAACTGCCAAAATTGCAGTTTTTATAATTTAGAAATTAAAGTATTAAGAAAACAAATATGTTTTTTACATTTTGATTTATTTTAATAAAATACCGGATAAAAACACCATTTACTGCATAAATTTATTTGAAATAATTTTAATATTATTGACAAACTAAGTTAGTAGAGTACTAAACTATTATTTTAAAAAATGTAGCAAATATTCAATATTCTTGGTGGCTAAGAAAATAGTGCGGGAACAAATTCTCTCTCATAGCCATGCCACCAGCCATCATACCATGAAAATAATATGGTAGCTCATTAACAGTTGTAAACAGAAAACTTTCTTTCAAAATTTCAAAAGTTTTTGCTTTTAAAGGTGAAATGTCAGCCAAAAAAATTGTTTTAGAGGCATTATCAAAATTGCTTTATCTTTTTTTGATGTTAGCTGTAGTTTAAATAGATTAATAATTTTTCAGATTCCACATCAATTTTGAAAAAAATTTTTTTTTTTCTTACTAATTCAACCCTAAAATGGCTAGTGCTCCTCCAGCTAAGAGAAGAAGGAAATTGAACAAAGGAGGGCAAGTGTTTCAAGAAAAGTGGTAATTATGGTATTTTTGCATGACAGTGAATGAAAAGATACACTGTTTAATTTGCAACTCCATCACCACATTAAAAGAATACAAATTGAAAAAACATTATGAAATGAACCATCTATCTGACAATTAATACAAAGGTCCAATCTGTATTTCAAAACTCAAGGAATTGAAGGCTAACTTGACACAGCAACAGACCTCATTTACAAAAAAATCAGAAACAGAATGTTGCTTTCGTTACTACAAGCTATGAACTCAGCCGAATGATAGCAATGAGTGGGAATATCTGTCTATATTTCTGAGATGAGGTATTATGTACATTATTTACATTATTCAGACTATTGTCCTCATCTTTGTCACCATTTTTATTACAACGTTTCAGCTGTTGTATGCTTCAGCCTTCTTCAGGTGGTTGGAATGTCGAACTAAACCCTTTATTTCGCTCACTGGGGTAGAATGTTCTAGTTCCATGTGCCATGTTTAATGGATGTCAGTTATCAGTTATCTCCTGTTAATTTTCCCTCTGAAAGTTCTCCACTACCTTAACCGGGTATTGAACACACACTCATTGGGTCCTGTCACTGGATCTAACCAAGGCCTTTATCCACTGTGCCATATGTCCTTGAGGACCCAAATTGTGTGAGTTCAACAGTCTACCCCAAAATGTTGAAATAAAGGGTTCAGTTCGACATTCCAACCACCTGAAGAAGGCCGGAGCGTACAACAGCTGAAATGTTGTAATAAAAGTGGCGACAAAGATGAGGACAATAGTCCAAATAATGTAAATAATGTACATAATACCTCATCTCAGAAATATAGACAGATACGGAAGAAGCCCGGAGCGCACAACGGCCGAAACGTTGTAATAAATATGAGGACAAAGATGAGGATAATAGTCCAAATAATGTAAATAATGTACATGAGTGGGAAATCTTACAGTGAAAGAGATTCCATAAAGCAATACCTTGTAAAAATACCTGAAATTTTATGTCCAGAGAAAGTACATTTATTCAAAGACATTTCATTAAGCAGGAACACTGTTGCTGAACAGATTGATGAAATGTCAGGTGATTTGAAACAATAATTGAATGCTGTATCATCAAGGTTTGAACATTTTCTATTGCTATTGATAAGACAATTGACATCATTGGTATAGAACAGCTTGCAATATTCATCAGGGCTTGTGACAGTGAATTTAATATTTATGAAGAATTGATTGAACTGGTCCTCATGCATGACACTACAACAAGCCAGGACATCTTTAAAAGAGTTGAGTAGGTTCTGCTTGCGTATAATTTTGATTTGAGTAAACTTGCATGCTTATCAACTGACGGTGCTACAAATATGGTTGGCAAACATAATAGTGTTGCTGCCAAGTGACAAAGAAAATTAATTAAAAAACTTGCATCCAGATTCATCATTTGCACATTTCCACTATATTATTCATCAGCCAAATTTGTGTTCAAATTTTTTGAAATTGGATCATGTGCTTAGCTTGGTCACAAAGACTGAACTATATTAGAGGTCGTGCTCTCAACCACTCTTAGTTGTTGGAAGATATGGACAATCATTTCACCAATGTTCCATTCTACACAGAAGTCTACTGGTTGTCACAAAGTGCTGAAAAGATTCTATTTGTTGAGACAAGAAATAATTGTTTTTGGAGATGAAAGTTCAAAACAGGTATGAAATAAAAGATGAAAGTTGGCTCCAAGATTTGTTTTTTCCTGTGGTTATTACTACACAATTAACTGATCTTAATTTGAAAGTAGAAGGCAAAAAACAAACTTATCACTCAGTTTTGATGACATCAAGTACTTCATTACAAAACTAAGCTTATGGAAGTCACGGTTGTCAA